TGGGGCTAGAGGAACACAGCTATAGCCCTGCATGCATCAGTAAACCACCTCTGTGTGTTCTGCCATTGAAGCCGAGAGCTTCAAATCTCTGAAACTCGAACTCAGACGAGTACTCTACTCTGTTTTGTTGAGTCGTTCTTAGTCTAAATTGATGGTTTTAATCTGTGCATGCATTATATTTTTGTTTTCCAGAACCCGACGAGAAAACCCGACGAGTTCCTTGATCAACCTCGTCATTCTCGACCACAGTCGATACTCACAGTGGTATATTTTCGTTCCCATCATTTCAGCTATCTTCCCTCTTCAATTTCGTACTTGGTTTGAATGTTTGATTTCACGTTTGCCGTTGACCGAAGCTATAACAACTCCGGTGTTCTTCCCCGACAACACCCAAGCCACCAGGCCATCAGGCCTTCTCAAAACGCCCACGGGCCTTAGCCTATTTTTGGACCAACCCAGTTTCTTATGTCTTTGGTTGGTTAATTGGCCTGGAGGTCGTGCCCTGCATAGGTTGTGCGTGTGTGTGAGTGTGTATGTGTGTTAGGTTGTACGTGTTAGTAAGTGTGTGTGTTTGTGTGTGTCCGTGCATGCGTGCATAGTGTGTAGTGTGTGTGTGTGTGTGTGAAAGCATGTGCACATGTGTGTGGAGCACATGTGTGTATGTATGTGTGGGCAAGTGTGTGTATGTGTGTGTGTGCTGGCGTGTGTGTTGTGTGTTGTGTAAGTTTGGGCTAAAGCCTAAACCACCACCCTTTTTATTCCTAAGCCTATCCAAAACCAAAACCCAATAGGCTCTAACCTTATTTAACCTAAGCCCTAATCTGGATACAAACCCAAGACCCAATTCCATTTCTTGAAATTCTATAGTGGGGTAGTTTGATAAATTGTATATTTTTTAGCTTAGGTGAAGTTGCTAGTGGGGATTTCCTTAATCTGTTTCCGCACAATTTTGCTGCTATGGAGTATCTGTGAGTGGACCCTTTCTAAATTTTGCATAATTTCCTAGTTTAATTGCATAAATAAAATGCATGCCTTACGAGTTTATGAATTGATTTTTATTTTAAGCATGTTTATGAAATATGTTGTTTATCGTCTCGTTTTTTGTGAGGAATTAATTGTTGGCCTATATTGAGCTATATTTTAATATATCGTATTTTCTATAAAAACCATGAACTGGTAGACTATCTGATGGATGACGATAGGATGCTAGAACATGTTTTAGAAACCCCTCTTTATAGTATAGACGATGGATGACTTTATACTATGAAGTGGTTATTTATGAGAGGCGTAACTGTTTGCTCGTACCTAGTGGACACTATGTTGCCTGGGGCGAGGATTTGGTGTTGGCAGTTAGGCCGGAAGATATAATCCCTAGCTACGAGTTGAGGGACACGGAGCAGGCATTGGGCCAGGAGTTGGTAATCTCTGGCTACGGGTGCAGAGACCAAAGTGCTGGCATAGGGCCGGGAGATATATTTATTTTAGTGATCTTACTAGTAATACATTGTGCAACGAGATGATCTATGAGACGTTTGAGATATTTTTGGCATGCTAGGGTTTTCAGTAAAACCATCACTTATTATGCTAGTAGTTTTCTTTATATAAATTGTGGGGGTTAGTATCTTGATAACTGTTTTATTTTTATTGTATATATGAACTTGGTCCACTCACCTTTGTTTTGCGCCCCCATTCAGGTCTTAGAAACGAGGACTACGACACAACGTACGAGACATTCCCTTACCAGTAGCAATCTATCACCCATTTGTGTGATATCTTGTAATGATCTTTCCTTTTGTGAATCTTGAATTAGATCGTATTCTGTGCACTCTAGATATTTCCTTAAACTTTGTTTATTACCTTTAGATTCTAATGATTATTCATGCCTATGTTCCTCCTAATCATTACTCTTGTATTCAATAAATAGCTTTCGTCACCCTCAGGTGTCGGCCAGCACATGCATATCCGGGTATTCGGGGAATATCGGGGTCGGGACGTGTCAAAATTTACCAAAATTTACAGACATGTATAGTTTAATGAGGGAAATATTTTTTATACCTAGGCCAAAGTCCAATTCAGCAGGGAAACATCGATCTGTTAGAAACCCTAAAGTGCGTGTTCCTCAATTTGTCAAATCCGCAGCTCCATAGCCCCTAAACTTATTTAGACTTTGTTCTTGGGTTCAAGAGATGTCTAATGGTGGTGGTGGTCGACGGAATACCTTTCAAAAATGGTTGATTGTCGTCGTGCACCCAAGAAGCACGTCGGTGCAAACTTCACTAAACCGGGGGCAAATCCCATCAATTTTTTGGTGGAAATGGATGAGGGAAGGTCATGGAGTTGATTCCAGGTGGTGGTTCGACTAGATTTACCAAAAAAATGCAAGAATCAGTGTCAAGTGTGTTCCAAAAATCTGGTCGGTGAACCGGGTCATGATTTGGAAATGGGTCAAAGTGATGACCCAGGTTAGCTACTCATCTCTCTATCATTTCCCTTTTTTCTTCTCTTCCCCATTGGTCCGATTTCCCCTCCTTTCTCTCATTTCTTTTTTTCTCCCCTAATCACAACCACACACGTGGCACTTGAAGGTTCTCCAACTCTCTGGAGCCTTCCATAAAAGGTTTAATTACCCTTTTACCCTTGCATTCAACTGTTAATTTCTCCTTCGTAAAAACTCTGTTTCACGAACGGTTTTTGCCTTTGCGCTCGTATGATCGACCTCTATCCAAATATGCCAAGAAAAACAGCAAAATATGGGAGGATAAAGTACGTCCTCATATAATTCGGTTTTGCCAACTAGGGGCATTTCGTCTTTTCCACTTATCAAAAAATTATACGTTGTAAATATAAATGTGTCGTAACTATGAATACGACAACAAAATACTTAATTTAATAATAACATCTAGGAATGGGATTTCACATTTCCCCCAGTTGAATTTCATAACCACAACTCGATTTATCTTCGATTTCCTCTACATAAACATAAAAATGAAAATCCATGTCATATTTCTAAAATATTCAGGGTATTGCATCATAGCATTGCTTAGTACAGGCACATGGTCTCTAGTCCCTTCATCTTCATCTCAGAACTTGGTAGGCTGCAAATAGGCCTTCAAAATCAAGAGAAAATCATATGGATCTATTGACAAGTATAAAGCTTGATTGGTAGCAAATGGTTTTCAGCAACAAGAGGGTATGGACTATTCTGAAACTTTTAGCCCTGTGGCTAAACCTGTGACTATCATATTACTACTTACTTTTGCTTCTCAGTTTAACTAGTTTTTGAATCAGCTAGATATGAGCAATGCTTTTTTAAATGGCACACTCCAAGAGTCAGTGTTCATGCAGCAACCTCCAGGTTTTAAGGAACCTATACATTCACACCATGTCTGCAACCTTCATAAATCCTTGTACGGATTAAACCAAGCCCCCAGGGCTTGGTATGACAAACTACAAGGTGTTATCCACTCACTTGGGTTTATTGGATCTCAAAATGACCATTCTCTCTTTGTCAAAATGTCTCCATATTTGGTGTTTGTATTGGTGTATGTGGATGATATATTTGTCACTGGACCATCAAGTAGTGAGTGTCAAAAGGTTATTTCTCATCTTGGTAACATGTTTCCCATCAAAGACCTTGGACCATTGCACTATTTTCTTGGGATAGAAGTAAAGAGATCCTCATATGATATTTTCATTTCCCAGACTAATTATAGTATGGATCTTTTACAGAAGACTAAAATGGATGGAGCTAAACTCTGCAATACACCTCTAAGCACTTCCAAACTTAATCATGACTCTCCATTACTTGAAGAAGCAACTGAGCACAAATCATTGGTTGGTGTTCTGCAATATCTTATATAGACCAGACCAAGAGAATACTTAGGTACTTAAAAGGATCTATTGAGCTTTGGTCTTTGGTTCTCTAAGTGTTCTTCCACTCTCTCTGTCTTTAAGCATTTTCAGGTGCTGATTGGGCAGTATGTTCTCAGAAGACCAACTGCAAGGTTTTGTGTCTTTTTGGGTAGTTCTATCTTCAGCTGGAGTGCTAAAAGCAACCAACTTTAGCTCGTCCTTCTACAGAAACAGAGTATCGATCTCTTGCAAACACACCTGCGGAGATCACTTGGATATGCAAGCTACTTGTTGATAGTGGTTACAAATTGCCCTCTTCTGCTAAGCTCTGGTGTGACAATGTTTCGGCCATTTTCCAAGCAAAGAATCCAATTTTCATGTCCACACCAAGCATGTCGAAATTGGGTACCATTACATTCAGGAGAAAGTATTGGCTAAATAGGTTTCTGTTAAGTTTGTCTGCACTCAGGATCAACTTGCTGATATTGTACTAAGGCACTATCAAAACCACGATTCTCGTTTCTTTGTGATAAACTAGCTCTTCAGAGCCCCCAGTTTGGTCTAAGGGGGGATATTCAAGGTAAAAATGTAAATTTGTTATCTAGAGATACAAGTTAAAGATGCAATAGTTGTTATCACAATTAGTTTTTGTTAGTTGTTAGGTTTAGTTAGCTTACTCATTAAGTTTTGTGCCTTGCATAAATAATCAATTGTGTAACATTATTCATTTGATGAAATACGAATTAAGTTTCCTAACAGAGATTTGGCTAGACAGGAACAGTTAAGGATAGCAGTACCACACTGGAAGAGTCTATCGTTAGCTGAGGATTTGTGGTGTATCTAAAGGCTTGTGGAGGATTACAGTGATGGGCCTATTGAGGACTATACCAAATTTCCTCCTGGCTTTCAATTTTTGTTGATCCAAGACAATTTTAGTGAAGGTGGCGAATTTTGTTCATGTAGTTTCATCATATTTTGTCTGAAGTAAAGAATGCAACATAGTAATAGTATGGCAAGAGTGTTTTATTGTGCAAGAGAAATGCGAACTCGTCAATCTAAACCTACACGAGAAAGGCGAACTCATCAATCAAACGGCTTTTAATTAATCTAGTCCTATACTAGAAGCGGGAACTTTTCGATCAAACGAATTTTGAATGATGTAATTGGACAGATCGTATGAAGCCCACCTCTAATTCTCCAAAGCTATTGATAAATGCTTTTCTTGCTAGACAAGTCATATAACATACAAAAGATTTTGACGAGCACAATTAAGTATGAGAGTTAACTCTTGCCATTTGGATCACCTCTGCAGTTACAATCTCTAGGTAAATTATCTCATTTTCTCACCCTGTGAATTTTTCTGCAAGTACTACAACAAAAAGCCTTCTTCCAAACTATATGTACTCCAATTTTGCTCAGGTAACCAGTTTTTCTTTTTTAGTTGCTAAGATCATAACGAGAGAAGGCGAAACCCGAAAATTCCCAACCTATTTCTGGGTCAATTGCTCTACTAAGAAACCGAATGCCTCCTATTTCTCGAAGGTGTAGATTTAGCCTCTTCGGGATTACCTGAACCAAGACTCTCGGATGAATCAGAGCCACTGTTCTCACCTTGTACCCCTTTGCTTGACCAAAGCTTTGCAAAAATCTTCTTCTTTGACTTCAGCAACCCTCTCATTTTACTTACCGCCGCCTTGTCAACACTGCCTTTTCCATCACCATTCCTGTCGCACGATCCCACACCACTGCTCAGCCTTAAAGAAGCTAGCTCCCCCTTTAGGGCTCTAAGCTCCTCAGCTGACGCTACTGCATCCCAATCCTCCTCCGTGTTGGTTGTTGCAGTTCTTGAGCTACCATGGGACCCACTGTTTAAATCCTTCATGCCTTTAGGTAGGTCAGGAGTGCTGCTGCCTGATGAAGCAGCAGCCCTGACTTGCTCAAAAAATAGTACCTGCACAACTACACGCAGCGGAAGTCTCTCATTTTGCACTGCATGCACACACGCATCAACAGATAACTTTTTGCAGTCCATCAGCTTGCATATCTTCTTCCTCTCGCTCTTGCTGATCCCTGGGTGCTCCTGCATAGCAAAGCAGGCCAACGTGTGAAACATATATCACCACCAACAGTTAAAAAGATAAAACACAAAAGCACGCAGGAAAACAGAATTTTTATGGCATGATCATATTTCACCACCAACTAAAATACAACAGAACAGAAAATCTGAAGCAACTTGTTTGCATCATAACATTTAAAACTTGCACAACAAGAAAGACCCCAACTTTATGTCAATCAAGAGAATAAATGTATAAAATCCCTAACCTTAAGGTACATGTCAATGGCTCGGTAAAGTCCATCATGAGAAGGTCGAGAGAAACCTCTCACCATCTCCGCAAGATCAACAAACTTCAACAAGGGTAGGTAGGGATCCTTTGAAATTTCAGCAAGATACCCATCTATGAGTTTTGCCACCATCAGCTTGGAAGCAGCAGACAATATCCCTGGCCTTCTCACCTCCTGAAGTTGATCGCCTTCGTCTAGTGATTCAATCCCTGGACTTTGACCTTGCCTTAGAAACTCTTCTACTATTTTTTGGACTACAGTAACATCATAAACAGAAGGTTCTCCTTCCGCTGCTCGTATCAAAAGATCATTTACCGAAGCCTCTTCCAGTTGCTGCCCTATTCTCCTTACCAGCTCTCCCTTAGCCGTGTCTCCAGAGTCCACAAATATAGCTGCTTTCAACATTTTGAGCAAGAAACTACAAGAGACACTGCCTTTCTCTTCAGGCAACAGCCAGACAATTGCATCCACTGCTGATCGATGCTTTGTCATATCTCCATCCTGGATCATTCCTTTACTGAAACCTGGCAACCTTCTGTAAGAATAAGCTTTCAAGCCCTCTCCGATCACTTCACCAGATAGTACCCCTTTGCTTTTAATATTCGCTAGAACACGCTTGTACAAATCAATCTCAAGCTCACACAATTCTTCAACCCACCAGTCTTTTGGAACTGGACGATTTCTGACACCATTCCAATTTGGATCATTCCCATTTTCCTCTTGGATCTTCTTCCGGTTATAGGTATAGGACCAGTCAACTTTTGAAACATCCATACAGGCCTTAGTAGCAACAGAGTCAATGCAATGGCTAACCAACTTCAGTTCCTCAGATATTGGTAAAAGAGACTTCGTAGTCTGAAGAACAATGATGGAATCCTTCCAGCTCCGGAAAATGCTAGAGCTAAGGAAGACATCAATCTTGTAAATGAGATTTCCTTTCTCGATAGACTCATGCATCCCCAGATATTCAGCCGCACAGCGAGACACAACAACATTGTAAGCATTGAGGGTGACAGTCATGCCATAACAAAACTTTGCACATATCTCAAAGGCAGCAGGGCCACCAGGAATGTCAGAAATGTAAATTTCGCCAGTGTTTGTTTCATTAGTGTTTGCAACCAACTTCTGCAAGCGAGCACTCTTTGATAGAAGAGGAAACTGCATACAACATTATCACTTTGATCAGTATCACAAAACATGTATCTGTAGATATACTGCAGATTTTCACATAAATTTTGAAAACGAAAAGAGTTGCCTTGAGAATCAACATAAGTTTGGCAAGACTATCATCATTGAATTTAAAAGTGCTTAATATATCTAGAAAGCTCAGTATCTATCTATCAAAGCTCTGTTGGTCTCTAGAAAATCATAATAATTCGTCAAGCAATTGGGTATTTGTCGAGTATCAACAGAGTAGTCTTTAATTAATGTAAATAATCATATCCCCGTAAATGTTCAGTTTATCTATATGAAACAAGTTGAGCACATGCACATTGCTTATAAGCCTTACACGTCTTTTATCCATTTCATAATTACAGTAGCTAAACATATCTGGATTTGTTCTGGATGCTTTAATATGAGTACTATAATAAATTACTGACTATAGATCCCTCCACTTGAAAATGCAACATGAAAGGTAACTGGGGAGCCGTTTGTTTCACCAAGAAATGAAAAACGACAAGAGGACTAAACAGTTTTTGGCAATCCTGATACAAGATACCATATACAGAAAAATGGACCAGATGACTACCTTATGTAGATAAAACTTTGAATCTGCAACATTAACAATGATGTCTGTTGCCAAATCTGTTGCGACATACCTGCATATAAGAATGTTTTTGTACTGTTAGTAAGGACTCTGCATATAAAAGAGCACTAATAAGAAGACCCGCATACTAAAACATTGAGATCTTGCAACGAGCAATTGAAAATCAAGCTTTTCTTCTTTTCTAAACTTTTCTTTTCAGGAGCCCAGAAATCTTTCTCCTCCCATACAAAAATACAACTCAATTGCCTGCATCCGTTCTTTCTTATATTATAACATTGCTTTATCAATGCATTTAATTTGATTAGCATTTCTATGTTTTGTCTACATTTGACAGAACTCTATCATTTCTTACAGTATTACCCTGGTTTGGTCTAAATTATTAGCTCACAACCTCTTGCATCCTTAAATTAATGAACAATAGCTTTATAATTCGAATAACAAATTATGTGTGGTGATCTACTTATGATAGCTATAAGAGATAACCAATAAATACTAGATTGACAATAGCTCAGATTGGATAAGGCCAAGGATTCAGATATTCCAAAAGAATTGATCATAGAGCAAGTGAGACACTGACAGATTCAATAAAGGTTCTCTTAAGGCGGCCGCACTAAGAGAACCAAGTTTTCGTGAACCAAAAACTAAAAAGTAAATGAGAGCAAATTTGATACCAAGTCATAGAACAAGAATAATTTTAAGCAAATAGAGTGTAGGAAAACAATGAGAATCGAAAAAAAGGACGAAAACTTACAGCCCAATTTTTAAACCAAGATGGCTACTAATGAGTGGACCTAGCCATTATCCATGAGGAGAAATATCCAAAATTTTCCAATGAACAAAAAAACCATCTCAAATTTAGGTGAAAAAAATTATACTTTCAGGATTTTGCAATAGGAATTATACTTTCAGGCTTTTGCAATAGGAATTATACTTTCAGGCTTTTGCATGAGTCACAATAGCCCAGCATATGATTCAAATTGATAACTGAGGAAAGATAGAGCACAGTTTTCAAAGATAGGGATAGAAGATCTCACCTAACATTATTTCCATCAGTCTGAAAAGAATCCGGCTTCGATCCAAGTTCATAAACTTCATCTTGGCAAGCAAACAAAGCTTTTCCTCCACTTCCCTAAACGAAACTTACCCTCTACTTCACGCCCAGACCACCAAACACCCCCAACAAGAATGCATCTCAATCGAGGAAAAGTTGCTCGAAATGGAAAGGAAGGCACCAGGAGCGGGGACCAACACTTTGACCAACTTCCTAGGCTCCAAGAGAGAAAAGAAGGATCTCAAAGACAGAGGGGAGTTTATATGCATGCAAGGCAGGGGCGTATGACCGAATCTTGACACAGACCAAGGCAATCTATGAGAGAGAAAGAAAGGGAAAGAGAAGATGGGGTTTGTGGAAATTTTTAAGAAAATGTTCTCTTGAATGGCAAGAGAGCCAAAGAAGAGGCTGTTTCCTTGGTCGGCGGCAAAGCCCACGGAGTCCGGGCGCACCAAGTCAGCCGAGGGGACATAACCAACAGACTCTGAACACTAAACAATTATCAAACACCAGAGACACTCAAGCACAAATCTGACTCCACCACACTCCCCCACTATTTCTTATATTTTCTCCTCTGATTACTCTGTTTCTTTGTTTTCCTTTTTTAAAAGCTAATTAAAGATTCATGCCACCAAGACCTCCTTGGACGTCTTCAAAGCATCAAGTTCCAAACCCAACATGTACACATCAACACCACCTATTTTCTAGATTTTTTTTTGGCGTTGAAGTTTGAAAACCTGCAACCGAAAACAGCATCTCGGTATCAGTTGAAGAAACCACCACAACGGTAGACAACAAGCATCTCTTTTTATTTGGGCAAAGCACGGGAATAAATGAGAAAAGATCACACACAAAATATAAAATAAATCATTACAAAATTGGAGTAAAATCTGAGGAATCTACCAGAATATTGTCAATAGAAATTCTAGTTAACAATGGGGCAAAAGATCATATTATGCTGCAAAAGTAAAAATTTTAGAGCCCCACATGAAGAAATAGGCAAAGGATCTCAAGGGCATGAAGAAATTGGGAAATAATCAAAAGGACAACCCCCAAAATCCACTCTCCGTGTAAAACCCCACAAAACCCAAGACCCCATTTCATCAAATCTACAGAGCTGTACAAAATCTACCAAGAAATATCACCTACTTGGCTACTTGCGATTTGAAAACAGAAAAAACCCAGTTCATGTTTGAGTGCAATCAGCCAACACCACGCCTAGAAACCCCAAAAGAAAAACCAGAACCACAGAACGTGGAGAGAGAAAGAGACTCACCCAAAATCTCATGCCATCGATTCAAGCTTTTTGCTTGAGGAATCAGAAGGAGTTTCAGCGCTCAGAGGAACAGTAACAAGAGACCAAAGGGCGAGGCTTTTGAATGCTGCTGCTGTTGCACGAGCATTCAAATCTTGAGAAGCAAACCCTTACCCACCACCAAACAAACGTTCACCCAACGCAGGAAAAACAAAAACCAAAAGGGCAAAAATAACACAAAGCTCAAAAGCTACCAGCTGTTTAGTACTTCTGAGTTCCAAACCAAAATCTAAAGTCGACCCATCTCCCAAGATACTGAAAAAAAATTACCCAAGTGCGAAAAAAGCAAACTTGTTATTTACTAAATGCATGATTCAGTCCTCAGAAGTAAGATACACTAACACTCTTCTTTTTGGCGCACAGACAATGTTTTTCCTTTCCTTTTCTTTTAGTTTTGCCCTACTTTAATTTGGTAGCCAAAAAAGTAGTGAGAGATTCATTGAGTTTTTTGGGTGCATAATTAACACAACCAACTCACTCATTTATCTAGTCACTTATTACTACTATCTAGTAGTATTTATCTTCACTTTATGTGAGAAGTTTTAGATTTGATTCTTGTCAAAGACAAATTTGAACTATATTATCACTAATCTATTGTGAGACTAAACTCACATCTCATCTCTAATATAAATAATATCGTTTGTTAAAAAATAAAAAATAAAAAACTCACTCACCTCGCTCGCTCACCACCTTGCACAGTAAAGCACGCCAAAACTGACAACTCTCTCTGGTTATTTTGATGCCACCATAACCCGGACTCCTCTTTATTAAATTACCCTTGCGCCCTACAACTTAACCCACAAAAGCCATAACTTGCGAAGTGAATCTCTGTGTTCATCATGGAGAAAACAGAAGAGCGTTCTAGACCTTGTACCCTACCATACACTTTTCTTTCGTTCATCATCTGTTCATATCACCATGACTTTGATCCTGTACCAGTACCAGAGAGAAGGTGGGGTCGTTGGGATCTTATGACCCCAATAAGGCCAATTGTCTCCCCCTAATTATTAAGCTTGACCCCGAAGAAATCTAGAAAAGAAGGATTATTGAAGGTCTTACCCTTTTTATATGTTTTTGTAAATAGTTAAGGGTATGCACTATATATTTTAGATGTGTATCAAGAGTGCAATATGTATAGGAGGTGAATATTTTGCTTAGAGAAGGGTGGAATGAGCATCAACAATGCATTGGCCTCGGTTTACAAAAGAAGTTGAATTTGATTTGATACATTTCTATGGTACCTTGAGTGACATCTCAATGGTCCCACTTTCATGAAACCCCCGAGGAAAGGAAATTATTTTCTATGATAGTATTATTGTTATGCGTCTATTAGGATAAAATCTCAACATCGTCATTGATCTGTACCATACACGTTCATCATGTGTTTATGTTGGTGAATGTGGTGGTGGTTGCATTAGAAATTCAATGACCATGTTCTAAAGGTGGTTTGTTACATGTCATTATTTAATTTGACTAAACTTTTTTGTTGCCAGACAGCTAAGAAATGCATGACTTTTACTTAAATAAAAATAGATTGTCACACTTTTCCAAAAAATGGGAATGGATTATACTTATCTTTCGTATTACATTTCAGTATTAATTCAGCTTGGATTTTTTCTTTCAGTCGACAGCTAAGTAACACTCTTGCTAACTGGAAATGAATTATATACTTATCTTGATATTTATATAAGATTTTAAATCCAAACGGGTGCTTTGCACATGTGGGACTAGATTTCCACAAGTTAAGTAAATGACAAGTTTGTCCAGCAGTGCGAACAATATCAGAGTTTTGAGACGCTGGTGTGGTGTCCGCTAAAGAGTAGTCTCTACTGGTTCGGGGAACGAAAACTTGAGTTCTAGGTTATTTTGCGAGAGATTTCTCAGGTGTTCGGTATTCAAGTGATACTTTACTTGTCATAATATAAGTAAAAAAAATGATATATTTTTTTAGTATTTTTCCACTTATTTTGTAATACATGAAATATCCACTGGAATGCATGGCACTTCGAAAAATATCTCGTTATTTGCATTTACCTTAGTAATGATTGAATTTGGTTTCTTATATTGTTTTTTGTTAATCCATTGAATTCGGTACAACTATTTGAAATATTAGTGAAAGACTGGATTTGTTATCTCATGTTTGCTTTTTATGAAGAAAAAAAATACCAAATTGAAGCAATTGCTTGTTCAAACAACAAGGAGCTGGATCATCAATTCAATTAAATGAAATTGAGCATGTTTCCCATCTCCTCTAGAGAAACAAGTAGGCTATATATATGCAAAATTGTTCTCAAATTCATATGCAACAATTCCTCCAAGACATCTTCTTTAGTTGGGGGAAGATTACTCACAAATTGGATTTTTTGAGGAACATATTGAGAGAACATTGGTGGGACAATGTGATTGTTAAATCAATGTCTTAGCAATGTACAGAAATTTTCAAGTCAGTGTTCACATTGACGTAACAAATAGCAATAGATACAACTTTTTCATCTTCAATTATGTTAGTTATGGGAATAAAATTAGAGAATTTATGAGAAAATTATTAGCATTTTTTAAATTCATTGTTGGACAGACCTTGACACTGAAAAATTTAATGTGACCTCGAGACCAGAAAATTTAATTAGTGGGTTGGAAAACATTGTAGAATTGTGTAGCAATCAAATAATTATGTTGAATTATAGTAGTACTTATAATTATTTTGATTGAATATCTTATTTGTACCTAAACTAAAAATATTGTAGTTTAGCTAAAAGTTTTTGCAGAGTTAGTATTTAAGCTAAAAGGTCTCAATTTAAAGGAAAAGGCTAAGGGATTATGTTTTTTATCATAGTTTATAGACCACATGATATGACGGTTGATTAAAGAAGGAATCCAATCATTAACATCCACTGGTTTACAAAATATGGCCAAATTTAAGTTGAATAATGTTAGGGAGACCACATACTTGTACCACATTTGTGTACCACTTGATATGGCAAGTGATTGATACAACCACTATCTAATTTTTTTTTTTTTGAGTATATCAATATTTTTACACTAGGGGGAGGGAGAGTTCAGCTAAGCCACACAATGGAGAACCTAACTTGGTATCGAATTCACCATCTACGAGATTCGAATCTAGGACCTCTCACTTCTAAGCGAAGAAGAATACCAATAGACCATAGTATTGAGTGACTACAATCACTAACTAAGTTCCATGTGAGCTAGTAAAATGTTGACATGGGGCAGCTGGTACCAACTAAGTTCCATGTGAGCTAAAGATTATAGGAATCACTGATCAAGGCCACATTTAAAGAAACTACGTAAAAAAAATATAATGAGCATGTATACATCTACCATGCGACCTTCAATGTTTATATATAGTTTGATCTAACTAGAGTAGTGCGTGATGTTCTATTGCCGTACTTATATATAAATTTTCATATCGTTATATTGCAATCTGAGTCATTAATGGTTCAAGTCTGAAGTAGTATTGTTATATATATATATATATATTTTATATCTTGAGACAAACATTATATTGTAAGTTGTGCATTTGACTACATTCAGACAAAAATCAATCAAAATATTGTGTATTAAAATGATGGCAGCATAAGTATCTTCATCGTTGAACCAAGTTGATAACAGAATATTTCTCGTCAAATAGTAAAAAAAATATGTAACAAATCCTATGAGTTCTTAGCAATGTTCTAAAAAACACTAGGCGCTAGTCGGGTGGCGGCTAGGCAGGGTTTAGGTAGGCTCCTAGGCGGCCTATG